GAGTTCAAGAAGCACACAGGATGGGGTCGACTGGGTTTGATACTTTTCAAACTGGGTGAATTCCCAAAATCAGAACAACTCTACCAGATTCTCCTCGCAAAGACAACTTCCGATCAAGATAAGGCGGTATACAATCATCACCTTGGCTGGATATATGATAGTATGGGTGACTATTCACGAGCACTTTCTTATTACGAAAAATCACTAGACATCGACAAGAAAACTCTCCCTCCGAATCATCCCGATTTGGCTTCTTCCTACCTCAACATCGGTTCGGTGTATTATAACATGGGCGAGTACTCGAAAGCACTTTCATCGTTCGAACGATCACTTGAAATCCGAAAAATAGCTTTCCCTCCGAATCATCCCAACTTGGCTTCTTCCTACAACAACATCGGTATGGTGTATTATAGCATGGGCGAGTACTCGAAAGCACTTTCATCGTACGAACGATCACTTGAAATCCACAAAATAGCTCTCCCTCCGAATCATCCCGACTTGGCTTCTTCCTACAGCAACATCGGTTCGGTGTATTATAACATGGGCGAGTACTCGAAAGCACTTTCATCGTACGAACGATCACTTGAAATCCACAAAATAGCTCTCCCTCCGAATCATCCCGACTTAGCTAAATCCTACAACAACATCGGTAATGTGTATAATAACATGGGCGAGTACTCGAAAGCACTTTCATCGTGCGAACGATCACTTGAAATCCGAAAAATAGCTCTTCCTCCAAATCATCCCGACTTCGCTCAATCCTACAACAACATCGGTAATGTGTATGATAACATGGGCGAGTACTCGAAAGCACTTACATACTACGAAAAAGACCTGGAGATCACTCTGAAAGCTCTCCCTCCGAATCATCCCGACTTGGCTACTTCCTACCTCAACACCGGTAATGTGTATACTAAAATGGGCGAGTACTCGAAAGCACTTACATATTACGAAAAGGCGCAAGACATATGGAAAAAATCACTACCTTCAAATCATCCACATATTGCACTTGTGAAAAGAAACATTGAAAATATGAAAAAGAAAATGTAATTGTTTTTTTCTTAACGAGAAAATAAATTGACCTTCTTGAACACGTTTGCCCCGCCAGAGCGTACCAACTGCAACAAATTTCGTGCACGTGCGACCAGGGATACCCTCCGTATTCTGTTGGGTTGTACAGTGGACAAAGCCGGCAATGATAAGGCAAACATACATTTGTGTATATATGACTAGTACATCTATGATCATCATCTTCGGAACGACGATGACCAGATGGATGCTTCTAGTCATACATACATAGATGTATGTTACGAAGGCCTACCATCTACACGCCTGTACAGGTTACCAACAGAACGTCGGATATCCCTGGGAAGGTTCATTTTGTTTTAGAGCCACCCTCAAAAGCTCCGTTTGTTTTAAATTTTTTTTCCTTCTGTTACGAAGAACAGGAAGAAACAGAGAAACGCGAAGAAAGACGACGTTGACGGAATTTTAATACGCAGCGTATAATGACAACCGGTTGTTTTAACGCATGCTGTGATATTGAGTGCACGATATCTATGTTGCCTTTAAACATGTTATGTTCAATTTATTTTTCTTTTCATCTTGAATGTGTAAGAACAAATGAGATGTCGTGCACTCAATATCATATTATACGAGTGATCACTGAACGAAAGAACAACACAAAAAAAAATTATCGACTATTCTCTTTGATTAGTAACATACATACATAAGAGATAATTGAAAGAAGAAAATGAAAAAGGAATGTTTATAAATTGAATCATTTTTGTTACTTATTACATAACGTTTTACAAAAATACTATTTTACGATCATATTGATCGAATATAATATAATAAAACAGAAGTTCAAATAGATTAAGTGCAGTAGTTGATTTTTTTTTAAAGAATTTTGTTATATTTTTTAATAATAATTTAGTCAAAATTATGGATCTAATATAAAGATTTGTAGAATAGTTTTTCGTTCATTCATTGATGAAGGTGAATATTCAATCGACGTTAGACTTTTTCCGTCGACTATTCATTTATTTATTATGATTATCAAAAAATGTTTAAACTTATTTATTTAACTTTAAAATAAATGAATTGAATATAAATTAAACAAAATGGATAAACTAAGTAAATCACTTGAAGTTTTAAAATTATTTTCAACAACAACATGAGAAACATTAATAACCAAGTAAATAGTTCAAGTCTTTTTCTGTTTTTTCATTTTGTTTTTATCTTTTATCGAACGTTGTTTGTTTTTATCTAGAGGTAAAGATGAAAATAATTTTAAATCGGTTACGGCTGTTGTAAAAGTATTATAAAAGAAATTCTTTTTTTTAATAATTTTGTATGAATTATAAAATACCCTAGTGAAACTACTCATCAAGCGAGTACGACTTGCCAGCGTGAGTACTCAAATTACTCGCCCGAGTACTCGAGCATTTTTATGTGTATTTATACGTTTCGTGTACTAC